AGGGCTCTTGCTACGGGCTGACGCCGAGCCGTCGCCATGGAAACCCCGGTTCCCGGCGCAGGCCCGGGAAGGCGCGCGGGGCCCCTCCTAACCACATCCGAAGGCCACGGAGGAGGAGCGGGAGCAAGCCCTGGAGACCCTGAACACTCCCCGGGGGTGTGAGGTGCAGCCTTGCAGGGCCGGACAGGCCTCGGGGCCCCGAGGAAGCCCCAGCGATCGGGAAAGGCCCAGAGTCCGCAGCCCCTGGGGACCCACCCCGGCCACAGAGATCCCACAGCACCTGGAAAGTCCCGGAAAGCCCCCGAGACCCTGACAGGACACCTTCAGACCCTGAAAGAACCCCAGTCAGTCTGAGAACAGGCCCAGGGACCAGGAAAGATGCTCTTGAGCATGACTTGGAGGTTCTGGAAGAGCCCAATCTGCAGGAGCCTTGGAATAACTGGGGACACCCCCAGCACACCTGGAGCAGCTCAAGCAGCACAAAGACATCCACTTGGAAACCTCGAGAACAGCCCCAGCAATGTACTAATAGCCTGGAAAGAGCCCTGGAGCATCCCCAGAGACACAAAGATGGCCTAAACCACCCAATTTATAGGTTTGAAACGCCCAGTGCTGCCCTGAAGACACCAAGTGTGCCCTTAGGGGCCTTGGGAAGCCCAGCTAGCTTGCAGGAGCAGCAAGGCAGCCCTCAGAAAGAACACTGGAGAATACATAGCAGGTCAGAGCCATCAAAAGGCCACCCAGAGACCCCAGAAAAGCCCCAGAGCAGCCCCAAACACACCTAGACAGTCCTGGAGACCCTACAAAGAGTCCCCAGCACTCAGAGCAACCCTAAAGATGCCAAGATAGTGCCCCAACGCCTAAGAAAGAGCCCAGAGTAGCCCCCAGAGATGCCAAGATGGTCTGAAGGAAAAGCCTCAGATCCAGGCATAGCCCCAGAGGCACTGAGCTGCACCTTGAGACTATGCCTCCAAGCATACATGGGTTTCACTGTGCTTCTGCCAGTGCCTTTGTTCAGTGCTGCCAGGTCTGCAACACGGGGGCAGCGCTGCCCTTTCCTCCCCCCACCCCTGCAGTGGGAATCGGTGTGTGGTTGGCGTGTGCAGCACGTGCTATGGCTGGATCCCCACTCCAAAGGCGGAGGTGCTTCTGCAGGGCCGGGCACAAGTGGGTTTGGTCCCAGATG